CTGTGTTGGTCTTCTGGGTTGAAACTCCTTTTGGACTTGTAGGTAGATATCGTCATTTTATAGGGACATACTCCCTCCATCTTGAGGGCTGTTGATCTATCTGAACGTCCACGTGGTGTTATAACATAGAACACAATCATGGATACTTTTGATGTCCTGAGAACATCACATCAGACGCAGAAATAAATATATCCCAAGATTTGAAAGAAACTCTATAAAGCTTGAATGATGTTACTTGTCTCTTTTGTGTTTGAAGATATCTCTTGGCTGCACTTTAGTGCTTCGGAAAACGCTATAATATTGGCGGTAAGACGTCTCGTTCCGCCCCGCTTGGCGTCTTGGCCCCCTCCACGTGCTGCTATCTGAGATGCGATGATTTACGATCTCTTCGTTATGTGCTCAGTTCATGGACACATTGTTAGCGAACGATAATGGGACAACAGTAACCGGTCCGCCACGGAATCGTCATTGTCACACACGACCGATGGACATTCGGAGAGCGTGAGGGCGTCTGCTACAGTTCGGAACGAAAACAACACGATAAGGTGGCAGTGGAAAAAATGACTGGAGGCTGGAGAAAACTGCGTAATTAAGAGCTTCATAAGTAGAAATCGACACTCTCACGGTGGTGAGTAGAAAGACGTCTGTATTGTGGGTCGTAGCGCCGTGTAGTCTGGTGAAAGTTGGCCAACGTTTCAGAGGTTCTTGCTGCCTCCATGATCAGGGCGATGAGACAGTAAACATCTCTGAAACGTCGGCCAACATCTACATACTATACGACGCAACATCGCAAAATCGTGTCAACCTGATATTCGATATCATCAAAAGAGACTAAGAAGAATAAGAGCAGTTGGCCTATTGGATCTATAGTTGGTTACCTGATGATGAACCTGGGTCAGTCCGGAGCTGAAACCAGGTCAGTCATCGCAGTGTTCGCATCAGACGCTGAGCGAGAACGAGGACTTCTTCAGTGTTCGCTGGGGGGGAATCTGGGGTAGTAAAGACGGGGAAAAAGTCCAATCAATTCTATTAAATGACTGGGGCTTGGATAAAGGTCAGGGTGTCAATGGACCATCGCCTTGCTTGAGGCTAGCAGCATCTTTACGCAAGAAGTGCACTTTCACTTATAACGGAAGGAACCATTAACCTTGATTTGAAAGTAAATGATTTGAGGGTTTAGTGTGTGCTTAATACAGTCACTATGTGTGACTGACATGACATGAAATCGGTCAGCACACTGACAACCAATTACATAAAGACGGGATTATAACGAACTACCGAAACGTCCTGTATATCAAATTTACCTCAGAAAATGGGCGATGTCCAACGTAATACTAATATAACTACCTCACTAAACATAATTTTCAATCTGCTTTCTTGATTTTCTAATAAAACAGACCACAGATCTCTGCCTATGAGAACAGAATCTGAGGTTCTCTTCTGGGTTGTCAGGAATGTCTTGATTATGGAGACAGTAAGTACCTGCGAAACATCGATCGGCTTCGGCACTCGTAAGATATTGGCGTACATTTCAGGATAATATTTCAATGGATCATAGAGGAACAACGTTTCAGAGGTTCTTACTTCCTCCATCATCAGGAACCTGATGACGAAAGCGCTACAACCCAGAAGACTACAATCTTCTTTCTCACCGCCGTGAGAGCTTCAGATGCTAATAGAATTAGTTATTTATGAGTTTTAAAATTTATAAATTGTTTTTTAGACTTTCGCAGCGTATGTGTGCTTGTCAAATAATAGTTAAACCCTCTTCATGGCGATATTAACACGGGCATTTTCGCAACTTAGTTTGTGAACGTGCCTAAAACGTGTAGCCATTGTTTTTCCACGCCAGATCTGACAATGAAGTATTTTATAAAATTAAGTGGGTATCAAGTATAACGTCAGGAGAGGATGAAAATCCGCTGAGGCTAGCTAGATGGCGTTGAGTGCAGGAAGACGGCAGATTCAGTGATACAGCGAAACAAGTGATGAAAAGAACATCACTTAACATTGCGTTCCAATGAGATACGAACTGTAATGAACAGTTCAATGACCCGATAAGCATCATATGCACAAAATGGAACGCGTTTGAGTATATAACGTGCGCCCTTTAGGCAAGGTGGAAGCCATGAGTTCGATACATCGATAGTTTTTCACTCTTTGACAGAAATATGCGCAGGAAGCGACTGTGTTCGGGATTTCAAGACTCACGTGCCTCATTTAACGCCATATACAGATACTCTCGTTTTTTCCATGGCGTAAAGTCGCCGGATCGTGAAGCTAAGTACTCACCTTTGTGTAGAGTCCGTCGAACTGTGTCCTCACTTCCCGATACGGTGCTTAGTTAAGTACCAGAGGTAGCTTAACCTTGCCATTATGTGAAGTATGAAGATAATTGTCTTTTGGTATGTTTCGTGTAGCCCAGTAGAAATTGAACGACGTTCTAGAGGTTTTTACGACATGCATCGAGCCTCCTGCTGATTCACTTTGACGATTGAGGTAGTAAGCGCCTCTGAAACATCGGTTAAGTTCTATCAGAAAACGCTGCGAACATCACGAAAGGCCGTCGTGTTCGTTCATTACCGTGTTCGCTTGATTCGTTCTTGTGGATGCCACTTACGCCACTGTTACGTTGACTGCTTGAGGCAGGAGGAGGTTTTATTTCACGGCACCAGCCGAGAGAACTGAAGAGCGTGAACGATCGAGGAGCTCATGAATGAATACGAGAAGAAGGCGCACAGCAGACGGCGCTGACATCAAGCACTTGCGGAAGTAAATTGCACGGAAGCAGAAACTCCAGGGGCATCGGTGCCCTTACGTCGTTCATCTCACATTGCCTAATCACGTTTCGCTCTCGAAAATTTAAAGGACTCGCGTCGTTAACCCTTTAAAGGCCAATGGTAACTATATGTACCACCTGCTTAAATATTAATCAAGTCAGCATTTTGTTCACTGAGTGTGTACATGATTTTGTTTGATTCTCAGATTAAACGCCATGAAGTAGTTGATGTTTCTGACGGAGACGCGCTGTGTTTTCTTTGAGGTACGACTACGTGTGTAAATGTTTTGTAACCAAGTGTAGTCTTTAAAGGGTTAAGTTAATTCACACGAGGGTTCCGAATCATTGACTATCACTGTGGCAGCAGAACCTGACGATTCAACACAACTAATATCAAAACCCACCATTGGACACAATCCTGAGCCAGTTCCATCCACTTTCGACCATCACAACCCATATTCTTTAATATACATAAAAGTGTATTCCCTGCTGAGTTCGAATCGATCGTTATTCCACAAAATTTTGCGTAAATATCAAATAAGCATGTATCTCACACAAAGAACAATGTGAAACGTAATATTATCTGTGGGGTAAAGATCTTCTGTACCTCGAAGATGAATAAAGGTTTGACCGAAACATTATAAACGTGTTCAAGACTGTATGACTTCATGACCTGTGCAGGTACCAAAATATTCGGTAGTAGTCTTAATTGTACTTTCTTTAAATTACTGTCTTCTGAACTGTTTGCTCCCTGATCATTGAGGTAGTTAGCACCTCTGAAACGTCAGCTAATTTTTACCATACTACTCGGCTCAACATTCCAGACGACAGCCATCTTACCACTCGCCACCGTCAGACCAGAAAATGTCACTGGATTTATTTAGATTTTTCTGGCGCTAAATTTGGATTAGGCAGTAAGGTAGCACGAATTTTAACGTTTGCCGCAAGGAGCGTCTTTTGATGACGTGTATTATTTGATTCCATGACGTCATTAAAAGAAGAGCACGCAACACGATCGATAAGTAATAAACACAACTATGAGTACAAAAAACAGCATTCAGTACTGTGAAATTTGAACCCAGAATTAACGTAACTCCCTGGTGTCAATGAATACAAATTGCATTAAATACTTTTTTAATTTTACAATGGTTTTTGAGGAATTCTTTCACTTTTTAGCTAATAATCTTCAGCAATTTTAAGAATCCTCTGTATTTTATAACGATGAGAATTACTTAATTGATCAGTGGCATAACAAGAGTTTAGTATTTTGCATAGTTTGTGCTGTGTTCATCATCGAAATAAATCGATGAATTGATCGTAGAAACGTATGTTTCATACTTACAACGATTCAGAGGATTTTACGAGTGAGTTAACACATTTTATATTATTATTATTATTATTAATTATTACTTAATAAGACCATATTAATATTGTTTTCAGAGATAACCCATATACGCGTGCACGTTCATTTTAGTTTAAATAAAAAAACAAATCGGTCCTTCAAATACGTTCATCAGACAAAACATTTCGTAAGGAATATGTGTTTTCCACGATACTGGGCCTTCGGATTCCACAAAGAAGGAGAATTTCTAACCTGGCAGTGACAGTAATACAGGATCTCCCGAATGAGAATATTAGTGGTAACAAATACTCATGTTTCCGTTCCCCTTAAACAGCCGCCAATCAGAGCTTGCCAAGACACATTTAATCACATTTTCTAATACACATTTCTCGTCCCTCTTACCCGCATGCTTCGTCCCTCTCATTTCTGTTTACGTAAAAATATACACCCCTTTACTGGCACATCCCTCATAAATATTATATAACAGAGCCATTAATAACGATGTAGTGACAAGAAAGCGATGCCTACCCCCTCTGGCGAACGTAATATTTAACCGTTCCCTCAACAGCCCGACAATTACCATCCGCTTATAACTGTAATATCCACTGCAATCAAAGTGCTCCATTAGTGAGATGATACAGAAACATGGGCGACTGATCTGTAACTCGTAGAGGGCCACGTTAAGAATTTTAAAAATTCTTAAAGTATTTTAAACATGTGAATATTCGTTGAATAAAAAAACGCGTCACACAAATGCCAAATTAATGTTACTATAACTAACCATTAACTGACTCACTAACTAAATAACTTTTAGATAACATTACAGAACGTAAGCTACGGCCATGATGAAAATTTCAATTTTTTTTCTGTCTTTTTCAGGAACATCAACTATGAGGAATTTGAAATGCCTTCAAAGATTGGGTAAGTACCCACACAATTTATACTTCGACGACAGTCAAACAAGAACGACGCACCATTGTCCTTCAACACAGCTCATTCTAAAACACGCTCGTTACATAAACAAATCGAGCTTCACGCTAATTGTCAGTGTGTTAATAACTTCCCCCTTCTCTAAGCTTTGATGTCAGTCGGGTACTTCAGTCATTATCATTCAAAATGACTACATGCTGCACGCCTGCATGAACAGTGTTCGTATTCTGAGTGAATAAGACGTAATTCCTTCTGCTATATTTTGTGGTTATGGACTGAAATTAAAAGATCTGCGTTCAATTTCACACTTGGTTGTGACGTAATATTTCTTTACATCTTGTTTTAGACGTTTAACTACTATTATCTTTGTCAATTTCAGTGCTTCTGTGTTAATATGTTATTGATTTTGACTTTGAGCTCATTTCATGTTCTCGACTTCCTTTTAATTTCTATGCTCCTGCTTTTTTCAAGGTACCCCGTTGCGTAGAGTTCTGATACAATATTTAGTATGCCCCTTCATATCCCATTTATACTTTATTTTATCAAAAAAACCTAATTACATCCTTTTAGATCTTCGACAATAGATTTTGCCTTTCAATATCATTAGCGACATTTCCACGTGGTAATCATACTTTATTGGCCTTACTTTCCTAGTTCCATTTTCATTTTCTTTACTCAGTTTTAGAATCTAATATTACCTTTTTGCTATTCATAATGTCATGTGACAAGCACTTGGATGTCCACGTGCATTAGTAGCTGCTACTTCAAGACTGATATAAATCGCTGCATAAAAAAATTGACAGTGGAACCACGGTTCCGGAGAATTTGACATAAATACGTCTATACGGAAAGGAAGTTTATATATTGGCTTTATTCTAAATATTTCCTTTATATATGCTTTACAAATTGAGTAAAGTTTGATTAAGACATTGCTTATTCAACTTGAATTAGTTACGCTTAAGATGGCTCTGTGGTAGCTGAATGTAATGTAAAGTAATGAAATGTAATGTATGGAACTTTGAGCTCCACTCTTTCTTGATTTTCCCACTTTCCTCCGAAACTTCCTTCTCTGAATCCTTGTTTGTATTTATCTTTCGCGTTTTTGCCCCTTGCTGTTCCTTTATGATTCTTTCATTCTTTCCTTCCTCGTGTATTTGTTTCTTCTCTTATTCGTTCATTCGTTCTTTCCTATTTTTTCTCCTTTTATAATATTATTTCTTTCTTCAACTTCTCCGCTCGGGCTGACACTTTTCTCACAGTGGGACATTACACTGTGTTTGTGTGGTGCATCCTTCCAGTAAAGCTGAAGACGAGAAGGGGTTTGTCAGCGCTGAGGGCGAGATTGGTACACCGGAGTCCCTGCCTGAACCGGAGAGGCCCCCGTTGAGGCACATCGACAAGTACATTCGACCGGAGTGTCCGTGCCTCAGTAAGCGGTACACCATGGCGGTCCTGACGTGCGTAGGTACGGCGTGTTGCAGCTTCAGCAGGCGAAATGACGGCGTAACTAAGAATATCGAATACGGTTGTGATGATGCGGTGTTACGGAATTTACTTGTTACTTGGTATTCAAACTGGACACCTCCAGAATACGAAGCAGACATCGTCACTCAGTTATAATTTTTAAATGGTTGTGAGTCATATACATTATAGGTATAATTTTAGTTACAATTTGCCTTCTTTGCTAAAATACCCTATTTCTGCACATCAATAACTGAACCCGTCACAAATTATTATGGAGGAAGGGACATTTCATTTTTAAATTACAGAAGTTGGCTGGGATGTGTTCCTGTCCAATTCTAAAGCAAAAATGCATGTGATATTGTGAAAATAATAAAGTGATGGAGTATCGATACCGTCATGTGTACACAGTACGGCTAGAGTCTGTGGGTTGATAAACATTGCTGTACCATCTCAGTTCATTTTACGATGAGGCAATTTTACGGATAGGACTAATAAGCCATACGATTTCACGATTCTTCAAGACGTGATTATATAAAGAGGTCAACGACTATGCCAAAATAGGCTAAATCAGCTGTTTTCGTAGGACGTAATGTGAAAAAACAGCTCATAGAACAGATTATGTGATTACTTTCAGTTAATACGAGATAGATTTTACCGCACTCTGAAACTTTGACAATAACGCAAAACAGAAATCGAGACGTGCCCTATTCAAGGTTCTATGGTGTTGTAATCTGTACTATCTCGGTGAATACAATAATTTTCTGAAATTAACTTTACTTATTATTATCTCTGTGGTGCATTAGCATTAATTGTTTTCTCACCTTTAGGCTTCAGTCTTAGACGCGAACAGCTGTAACTGTGAACGCGTATGAATGGTGAAATGGTCCACCCCGTGTGTTGTAATTAATTGATGATATGATCCAAATACTTTTAAATATCAGTTGTAAGAATTTATGGTATAGTTTTCAAATACTATAAACACTTGTGGATTCGGTAGCTATTTTAATTCTTTTATTGAATATTATTACCTGTTAATTAGGAACTTCACACAAAGACGACGTACAATGAATTTTGTAGGAGATGCAGAAAAGAGTGTGCAATATATTTTGGTGGGGGGGGGGGGGGGGGAGGGGAAATAGTCCTACTGGTTTGCCATAACATGGCTACTTCTAAGCTGAAAGCAGCCTATGATATCAACCACTTACTTTCCTCCTCAGAATGAACCAAGATCGGTACAAACTTTTCTAGTCTGGAAAAGGAAAACTCAAAATTTCACTTTTCGGTTGTTGTACCATTGAAAATAAAATTGTTGGTATAGTATGAACACTGATCTGAGTATACATGTTTATATTACATTATATTGCAATATATTAAAATGGGAGTTATATCTATCCAACGTAGATTAAATGCAAAATACATTTGTAGACGAGTGTATCTCTCCGCCGTGTCAACTAACAACACATTTGTCATGTACAGGTTTCATGATTTCTTTCGGCATGAGATGTAACATGGGGATGGCGAAGTTGAAGCATGGAAACGAGGTAAGACACTCCAAGATTCTGAGAACAAACCGCCGAAGAGGATATTTAGACACACCGTATAAAGTAAAGAGAATATGGAGAAAAATAGACGATGATAGCTTCACTTTTTATATTATAACACATGTTGTGATAATAAAATGAAGGCGGGTGACGCTGCAGTTTGAAGAGCATTGAAATTAAAATTTAAAATGAGGCTGTGTACTGAATTTATCTGGCTGATAAGGCCGACTTTTCAGACGTTTCACCTGCCACCATCATCATGTTGATCGCCCTGATGATGGAAGCAGTAAGGACCTCTGAAATATTGGTAAACGTTTACGAAATCGCACGACGCAGTACCCCGGGAGGTTCTCATCTTTACTTTCATCGCCGCGAGAATCTGAAATCTCACAAAATTTCTCTTACTCATATCGTGTTTGTAAGTCCAAATATTCTCTTGGTTATTTCATTGTTGATTTTACATTCTGACTTCAAAAAGGAGCGATTTAGATATACGAATTATCTATTAATTAAAGCATAAACTGACGCACATATACCATATAAACAAATTATTTGGGTCTTTGAGTGTATTTCACCACGTAGTATAATAATTGCACTATAAATAATAGGGCTGAATAAAGCAAACATTCTCTCGATTCATCGACAGTTACTTGCAAGAGTTACAAAGCGTCTGACTCCTAATACCATTATTCACATTCTATCCAACATGTTGTTGTTGAATATGAAATCAGTGAGAAATTTTGAGCAAATTCCTTCGGGCTTCCTTTGGAGATTTCACGGGAGTAACTGTTCAGTCTACGACTTTCAGAATATCGTTAACTCACTGTTTCTGAGGAGTTACAGTTATACGAACGCAGTATTATTTTTCTACGTCCTTTTTATATGAGCGGAAGTGAATTCCGTTTGTAAAAGGAAAATGGAGAGAGGGGTGAATAGAATCAGAATTACAAATGCTCTCACGGCATGATGCCTACCCCCATCTCCTACACAATGCGCTGTTGTTAGGGGATGAAGCCAACCAGGGTGACAACGCTCGACGGTTCTGTCACAGAGTGATTCGAAAATGCCTGACCAGCGAAATATCTGAGATAAGACGTATTCTTCATTTACTTTTTATATTTCACGCTGAAATTTAATGCATTTATTATTTCACAGTTAAAATTTATCGTGCTTATTATTTATACGTTGAAGTAGAATCTACGTAATATTTACCTGTTAAACTAAAATAAACGTTTTGGAGAAACATACTGCATATATATTTAGTGTTGAAGTATCTTAAAGTGTAATTAATGACTCTCAGTCCTGAAGATGGAGACGATAATTTTATCCGAAACGTTGCCAACCGAGTAAACGACAACATGGCGTCACAACCTATAAGACCTTAATAGACGGGGAGAGAGATTGATACAAATTAAGAATTAATAATGAAACTACCAATTTATTTGAATTTTCCAACAAGAACTCGATGTCATACACTTCTTTATGAACTCTGTGGCTGGTTTGTAAAATTCGCATTACACACGCAACTGTCATCTGGTTTACTGCTGATCAATGTATCATATGGGCAACAAATCGATTAGGAACAAGTCATTTGTGCTTCCCTGTAGTTGGATATTCGTCGAGTAACTTCTATTGACGATGAATAGCAACAGCTAATGGCGCATTTGCAGCTCCATTCATCAGTATGTGACGTCACTTCCTGTTGCTCGAGTCTCTCTCTTCTTGGATGGTTGCAGCTTAAAGTCAAACGCTTTCAATCAAACTCGAAGATTTTACTCTTCGCGCAAAGCTGATGAATATTTCTCATTTTAAACTCCTAAAAAATGGAAAGTATAAACATTAAGATAGTTTGATAGTTTTCAGACCAATATTTGGGAGTTTAAAATAGGTTTATGTTTAGCTTAATTTTGCCTCATTCTGTTACGTGATCGCTCCAAATTTTAAAGAGGTCCGTGTGATATTTTCGTCTTAAAACTGGAAAGACTTAGCAGTTACTTTTTCAATTTTGCCGCTGTGTATAAAATTAACAAATACCTGTCTTTATCAAATCGGACCGACCAAAGGTTTCGATTATAACGACGCTGTGTTCTTCTGTTTCAGACGAACATGTTTAACTGGACTGTAAGTGTAGAAATTGCCGTCGATTCATCCTTCTTCTGGGGTTATTTGGTTACTCAAGTTCCGGGTGGATTTCTGGCATCCATGTACCCAGCCAATATGTAAGCGCTATCAAAATGAATCTCATTTTTAACATATTAATTAAATGACTAATTAACACAGGCCAGTCTTTCTTGAAATTCTAATATTTGTTATGCTAACTACCTAACGTGAGCCTGATGAATCCAATCGACACCCGCACGCCTTATTTCCTTATAAATTTTTTTCCAGTGATACCTAGGTTTCCTAAGTGATCTTTTCCTTTTAGATTTTCCAACTGAACGTATGCAGCTATATCTCCAATGCGTGCTACGTGACCATGCTTCTTGTTTTACAGTTTTCTTGTAGTCTCAGTGAAGTAGATTTCTGCATATATTAGCCTAAATACGTGTTTATGTTGAACACGAAACTGTGTTTCTCGCTCAGGATTTTCGGGACCGCCATCGCCATATCTGCATTCCTGAACCTGCTGTTGCCCGGGGCTACAACCATCAGCCCCACACTCGTCATAATTGTTAGGATCTGCCAGGGTTTTGTCGAGGTAAGTGCATTGTCTGCCAATTTATTATTTTTGAACAGCATGAACAGGAACTGAATTCTAGACCAGGATCTGCCACTAATGAACATCCTTATTAACACCCACTGATACATTCAAAATTAGACCTCATTGAATAGGCCATAGGTCGTATGTAGTTAGAATTTAAACCGAAACCCTTTTCATTGTTTAAGTTATTTTACAAGTTTGTTCCCTAGACTAGCATTTCTTAATTGTTCCACAGAGAAGAATCAGTCATTGCAGAGAAATATCTGCAACATATCTGAAACGCATTTACCATAATATACCAAGCCGAAGTAATTATTCAGATAATTTGCTTTTTCACGTCTTGGAAATGTTAACAGAGAAGGCAATTTGTATTCGGACATATTCCTTTCAATGCATGTCAGGGGAAGACTAATTAGTTCCAGGTTCTATAAAAGTTATACGTAGACTGACAGTTTAAGCAAGAGTGGCCCATGGTGAGAAACGTAATATTATGCGCTTAAAGCCCTGATTTATAATAACCATCCTATAATGGGATGCATTGTGTGTGGAATTAAAACGCCAAGAGTTTTTAACCTCGGCACGAGAGCTGATTGGTCAACTTTACCCTTCGGTCTACTTACTACTCTATCGACTGGATAAATGGCTGCGTGGACTTCAGAGCCGGTATTGACGTCATAGCAAATGAAATTCATGGCTCGCCGGGAATCGAGCCCCAGAGAAACCCCAAACCTGGTTTGAAATGGGGCCCACTTGTTCAGCCAGTCATTTTATTAATAATTTCAAGCCGAATGGTAACTACCTGTATAATCCGCCTTAAAAATCAGTGTTTAGTACGATTCTCACCTTAAACGAGATTCATAAATTGGACTTTGTAAAGATGAAGTGTTGTGTTTTCTTTGCGGTAAGGACTGAATTCTTCAAATATTATCTAGACGAGCTTTGTGGATCTACCCGTGAAAATTTATGTATAACTACTTCAAACCTTGCTTCTAACGTCAGGGCGTGACGTATCCAGCCTGTCACGGTATCTGGAGGTTCTGGGCACCGCCTCTTGAGAGATCTCGACTTGCCACTCTGGCGTTCTGTGGCTCGTACGCAGGAGTGGTGCTGGGGATGCCCCTTTCTGGGCTTCTCACGGGTGGAATCAGCTGGAAAGCACCTTTCTACTTCTACGGTAAGTGTAAAGTTGCGTCATCATCAAGGATAGATTACCCCATCTTTATTTTCGACCGGATATTGCTGTGTGTTGCATAGTTCTCTATTCTTCCCATTAGAAACATCCCGGGTTTAAATTTCAAATATAAGGGACGATTAATTTTTTGTCTAGCAGAGCGACTTAGCTTATTTAATAACGTCAATTTTTGCAGCTAGTTACGTCCTACAAGATTAGTTATAAACTGATTATTTACATTGTTCTTTCATAGAGGAGAGCCAGTTATAAAATGGAAAGACTGAATCTTTCGCCTTTAAGCGTACCTTAAGGTTCATTACCGTGTTTGCAACAGCCGCAAACGATCTTGTCCTGATCCTTACGAATATTATTATCCCATCAACGCCTGTAAGATATAACATTCTTAATATCAGCAGTAAGAAACGGTAAACAAAGATCATCATACGTTGGTACTAAGTTAAAGTTAAATATCTTTAGTATAGGATTTTAGGTTTCCACGGCGGTGAGTCTGAAGATGGCTGGCTGTCTTCTGGGTTGTTGCGCCGTGTAGTCTGGTAGAAATTTTAAAGTCTACGAGATTACACGGCGCAACAACCCAGAAGACAGCCATCTTTTCAAACATCATTCCTCCGTTTGGCAGTTATTAGTAACAAACGCAGTTCCTGACGACGTGCGTGTGTCTTGTTGTTCCAGGTATTGCGGGAGTCGTCTGGTACGTGGTCTGGTTGTGGTTGTCCTTCGAGAAACCCTCGAAACATCCCACCATCAGCGCCAGGGAGCTCATGTACATTGAACAGTCCCTAGGGCAGTCCGCGCAACTTGCAATGCCGACTATAGCAAACACTCCTTGGCGTTCTTTCTTTACCTCCATGCCCGTCTACGCTATAATTGTGGCCAACTTCTGTCGCTCATGGAACTTCTATCTTCTGGTCCTTTTCCAGGCCAAGTTTCTTCAAACAACTTACAATCTCCAGATAGAAGAGGTGATTCAGGTTGACCATACTTAAACCAGGTTACATTTAAATCCAGTCCATAGACATACGTATTCATGTAAACTTTTCATCTAAATCTGCATCTCTCAATTAGGTACTTCCTGCTAGGTTTCCCGACTAAAACATTAAAATAATTTCTTATTTCATCACATGTGGCAAATATCCCACTAATCTAGTCCTCTTAGACATAATTACTCTGAAAATGAGAAACATTTGTTTCTTACAGCGGTGAAAATCTCGATGTTGGTCTTCTGAGTTGAAACGATGTGTGGATTTGTAGGTAGACAACAACGTTCCAGAGGAATGTGTTGCCTCCATCTTCAGCCCTGAAGATGGAGAAAGTATGTTTCTCTAACACTGGTGTCTACGTAAAGTCCTTACGGCATTACAACATTGAAACCTTCAGTCGATATGTGAATAGTACAAATTACGTGTTTTTTTATTTACAACTCAAGTTTCTTCATAATCCTGTTATTTCCTTGTACATAACTTGAAACGTTTCCTCACACGTGTTTTCTCAGTCTATTCGAATCTCTCAGGTTTAAATATAAAGTTCCATGCATCTATGAAACAAGTTAGGATTAGAGATCAGAACTTTTGACGGCAGTGAGATTTTGGCGCCGTGTAGACCGGTCGGTAGACGCATCTACCTATAGAGTCTACGCGGCGTCACACCCCACAAAGCATCATTGTCTAAAGCAGGTTAACATGATTTTCTGACCTAAATCTGTCCTTATGCAATGCTTTACAGGTGTTCGGTATAAACAGATATTTTATTTAAATGTAACCTCTTAATTCAGACTTCAACCGTGAGATCTGAAGGGCCAGTTAAAGACAGACGTCCCTAAAGCGAATCATTTAATGTTAAGGAACAGTGTCAAATTCGAAGATGACTTCTGTGTAGTTTCGTAGAGGTTTACCGAAGATTCAATGGTACTTGCCGCCTCCATCATCAGGGCTGTTTTCGGTAAACTTCTAACAGACTACACGGTTTATCATAGCTCAAGACAGCCATCTTTATAGTCGCCACAGTGTCTGACTTAGTGCGAGTTCTTTGTACGTTTCTTTGCATGACGTACGGACCGACGGCTCAGACGGGATTCATCGGCGCTCTGCCACACTTGCTGATGACTCTGATCGTGCCTATGGGAGGCCTGCTGGCAGATCACGTGCGGAAGAAAGGCATTCTCACTACTACGAACGTAAGGAAGCTGTTTAACTGCGGAGGCTTCGGCATGGAAGCAATCTTCTTCCTCGTAGTTGCTTACGCTCAGACAGCGGTGACGGCTACAGCCGCCCTTACCCTGGGCGTTGCATTCAGCGGATTCGCCATATCTGGTAAATTAATGATGTCCATACTTTTGCATTCGTTTGACTCTTTCAGTTCGTTTCAGCTGTAATTACGTTACGATACTTGAAAATCACTCTAAAGCAACATTATTATACATATTTATTGGTTTTATTAGTTTTCACCACTTTTCTGTCCATTCGTAGATTTAATTGACAGCAGCTAATTGAAAATATTTAGTAACAGACGGAAGAAACAAAACAATTTCGCAAAGAAACATTTTCGCCAATAATTATTTACAAATTTGTATGAATTAATTTTATCATAGTGCCCCAAAGCCACGCACTAGAGAAATTATATAACACGTGGTATCCGTTACCCAAATTGTACCTGTTCGATCGCATTTAAATTTATTTCAAATAATTTATAACAAACAGGTTTCAACGTGAATCACCTGGACATTGCACCGCGTTATGCCAGCATCTTGATGGGGATGTCCAATGGGATTGGGACGATTGCGGGCTTCATGTGTCCCATAGCAACCGACAGCATCACGAAGGATGGTGTAAGTACACTAAAATGATCGGCTTAGTAAATGTACTGCTTCCATCAACAGGGCTATGAGATTACGTATCAACCCGATGCTAAATGCTGTTAGTCTAGCATGAGATAAAGTTATCTCTGTACTTTATTAAGCATCTCATCATTACGACGCAGGGGGAGTGGAGGTGTAACTCACCTCTTTCCTGAACCTCGGTACTAGATTTGGATTAGTTCTGTTCCACGCTCAGCCGCTTCAACAGCGTGGACTCAAAGCCAGTATGGACATCGTGGCAATAAACAAAATTCTTACAATTCTTGGGAATCGAACTCTGGTTTTCCAGCCCATAGCAAGTTACTTTACTGATTTAGTTACCCCATTTATATTAATTAGTCTTATGGTATTAATCAAAATTAAAATTAACTTCGTGGAGCTAAGAAATATATGAGAATTATAGCCTAACAACAGCTAAAATTATAATTTTATAAAAAAAAATTAAAATAACGTCCATATTCAGATCAATGAAATTAAATTATATCCTTCATCTTTAGTAAATAATGCCACATTTTAGACGCTAGAGTCCCTTTGGTTCATTATTGCACCAACGGTGGCAAAAGTAGTTCTCATTCTGAACGAAGTCCCCAATTCCGTTTCGCCTGTCTGCCTCTTCATATGACGAGCATTGTTCGCACTTCCTTACCGCGTGTCTACTGAGCCAGAGGGAAGAATCCTGTACTGTCTGAGCGCACGTAATTTATAAACGACACGACTGTGCAATGCCCAGACACTTCCAAGGGCAAAGTACTTTTCGGTTGGTTTATTCCCGGCGAAAAATCGGTATCGGTAGAGAACTTGCTACTTGCTTCATGTAACTACAGGGGAAAATTGCTCCAGCTTATCTGTACGTCATTATCTCGTTAGTTGCTACTTAACATCTCTCTCCCAGAACTTTGTTCTGAAAGTCCCTCAATCTTTGTTTTTCGTTTTTGAGTTACAGGCCAAGTTTCACTCGCATATAAAAAACAGTGACATTTTAGTTATGTATATTTCATTATTTTGATAACAATCACTCGCTGAATTTAAAGTAACTCCATGGGGCAGAGTCCTTCATGAGAAGATACTCTAATCTAGTCAAAGAACTCGAAGGTTCATTACTACTTTCACAAGATACCACCAGGGCCATATCCTGCTGTCGAAAGACTTGCCAATACAGCAGAGAACTTTAGAAATAGTTCAATAAAATGACATTTTACGTGTGGAAGTAAATTGTCATGAGTTTGTATTCGCATTTAAAAGAGTCTATCGCCATGAAATCGATTGTAGTTCCACTCATTGTGAATTTGCTTTGTGACCAGTCCCGACAGAGTTGGAAGATAGTTTTCATTATGGCAGCAGTCGTGCATTTCTTTGGTGTGACGTTCTATGCCGTCTTCGCTTCCGGCGAGCTTCAACCATGGGCAGAGCCATCTGCCGAGGAGAAGAAAAAGGTCTGGAATCCGCTTGAAGAAGGAGATCTGCCTAAGAGTTCGGTACGTGTGAGACTGAGGTCAATTAAAGAAGCGATTAAATTTGTAATTATGCCACAACCGTGATTAACACTGAACATTGGTTGACTTACACGGGATTTCCGCCTATGGCTTCATGTGATACTTTTAAAGTAAATTACTGCCACTCCGAGGTCAATCAAGTGTCGGTTCACAGATGAAGCCCTGACCTTGAGGACGAGGATAAAGTAGTGTGTTGTTTGCTCAGGGATATCGCACGCCACGTGGGGCTGTGGTAGATGAATATGGAAGAATGATGAAATTATGATTAAATGTAATAATTCGGCGGCTCCGCGAATGTCACTTGCAGCCACTTGGGATTGAACCGGGGTCTAAGTGGTGGGAATGCGTTTCCTAGCCGTCCGAGTGGGGTCTTTATGTATTTTCGTTTTATATTTTAGATTAATGACAAAACTCGAAATGAGACCCGGAATATTAACCTTGTTAGCGCGTGTTCCGGAGATTGGCGTGGCAGGAACACGCTAAACGTTTACTTAGAACTAACACTGTTCTAATTTCAGCTAATTATCGCCTGCCATAGTTGACTTTTATTACTGTTTTACTCGGTCTTTCTGGTAAATTCTAGGATAATTCCTTGAAACAGATCAAGATAGCTTCTAAATCCTTATCAACTCATATTTTTATCTCATTCGATGCTTTAAAACTTTATGTTATAAATATCGTCATTGAAACAGAGAAGACTAAATCAATAATCTGTCTTCGTTCATTCCGAACTCCGCTTTATAACTCTGGTTTCTCAGGAGAGCACTTATTACAGTCTAATTATTTTTTGCTTAATTTCTGCTTTAATAACTCCTGTAACTTAATTCGCTCTTCGGGACCACGTGGTATCTGAGAGGTTTGATCAAAACTATATGATGGAAGGGGATTCGTAAGGATGCAGCCTCATTCGTCTTGTTACGAAGAAGGTGTCAAACCGTGAAAGAAATGCGTGTAGGTAAATCATTGAGACGAAGCATGAGATTTGAATGCCCATTTATATGAAGCACTGATTTCAAACAATTCATTTATATATATATATATTTGCACTTTGGAGTGATTGCACTTGTCGTGAATGTAAACTTCAGATCTGTGGCAAGAATTCTTTCAGCTTCGCATTCTTCTCTTGGCAAATCTTGTGATGAACTGCTCCCGTATCACATTACGCGTTACTTTTAAACTTCCAGGACGATGAAGTTGACGGGCGGTGCTTATTGCACGGTTTAGTTCCTGTTCTGACATTTGCAGGGCACGTGACATATATTCAAAAGAGAGCATAATAGACATCCATGAATTGTGTCCCGTAAGTGCAAATGCAATTTCTGGATATCAAGGACATTGAAAAATATCCATTGAGCGCAGATCCTAACACAATATTTTTATAAATTTATTTTGTATTGCTGACAGACGTTATCCTTTACTTTCAAGGAATAATTTTAGTCACATGACTTTCAAAATATAATGCTCAGAAGAACACTTAGTTCTAAAAGGCTTGAATTAAATTGCGAATGGAGGATATAATACGAAGAAATTATTGAATTATATACATCACGTAGTTTTCTATTACAGTATTTAAATAATGTGGACTACGATGGGCCGGGCATTTATCTTGAATAAATACTACGATTATCACAAACTGAATTGTTAAACGAAACATTAATAAGTCGGCATAATCATTATGGTCCATGATGTGTGTTGTAATTACAGGAAGGAGTTCAAGATTATCAAGGACAGGTAAACAGCCACGGACCTACTTACGGTTCAGTTGAACAAACTTCTGTAGCAGGGCACCAACCTCCGATGTACCCCTCAACAAATCCCTTCATAAACCATGCAGAACAACAGCCCACGAATCCGTTTATAAATCATGTAGAAGCTGTTCAACCTGAAACAAAAGACGGCTACTACAAGTATGGGACAGTGGACGATGGTGCGTACTGAGTGACTGTATCTTATTTAATTTATCGATTCATCGAGATCAATTAAAACTCCAGTCAATATGTGGTAGTGGTTATAATTCTACGAATTATATGTGTGAATTGTTTCACACAGAACTTTTTCATCCATTTTTCGTGATACATTTTATTGAATTTTATTTTCAATTTTTCATCTGGTAAATATAGGCTATGTGATGTTTGTGAAAGTTAATATATACTTATAAAAAACCTGTAACATAATAATATTATTCACTGGCGTATGCATTAATTTTTATTTTATCTTCGCATTGATGTTAAAGAATTCATTTCTCACTCTGATGTCAAAGAATATATAGATACACGTTAATATTTTGTTGTATAGAAACTTCTGTTGCATAAATAATAAATGTGAAATAACTTAGCAAATGCCGTCTGTAGAACATTTTCACTAAATATTTTTAACCTGCCCCTCAAACTATAAACGTATCCTCAAGCATTGATTAAATTATTAATTAATTAATTCATTTGTTATTCTGCCGATATTTAAACGAATAAGCAACTCTGGCGCCGATAACGCACATGGCGCTCTACGCGGACTCTGCCGGAACTAAAATGTATCACGAAAAAGAGAAGAAAATCGTTACTGTATGATCGTAATGGCAGTGACTTCACAAGCTAGCCAACCTCAAACCTTCTTATTGTTCTCTATAAATATAGCATTAATTGCAATCGAGTGTGAATAGTAAGTATAATAACGTGTAAAATAAATGTAAACTTGTCCTAAGAAATTGGTGTGCTATGAGTTCGTTTCTCAGTACCGAGTTTTATTATCACACCACTGTAGCACTGCTTATGACGTCACTCCTGACCACAGAAAAGTTATGGCGCGAGTTAAAACAGCTGTCCGTTTGAATCGGCACTTCGCGTAGTCTCAGATGAATTTAAGGACGCGATACCTTCTGAGAACTTAAACGTAAGTCAAGCAATATAAATAGTTATATTGAATCGACATAAAGCTATATTGTTGATTAGTGGCATTGAGTTTATTGGAATATAACCTAAAACAAATTAAGAAAATTTCATAAGAATATCCTTGTTTAAGCTTTAGAGCCACTTATGAGGTTCTATTCAAGGAGAATTTTATCCTTGTTACCTGATTATTAAGATTGATTTAAATATTATAAAAAATGTTATAACTAATTGTAATTTGCAGATGTTTTTTAAATAGGCGCGTTTTTTATTTGAATAGAATAATGTATTTAAAATGCGATTTGAGTGAAAGCTGTTAACATTTACCCACGTTTAAAACAGAATCTATAGTCAGAAAGATGTACATTTTTCAAACCAAAGTTTAAAACTCTTTTGAAGAGTGAAAAATCCTGTCCCAGGTAATTTAAGTATTACATATTTATAAATATGGTGACATTAGAGTTAGTAGACGATGTAAAGTTTATCTGCTTAGAATAAATTATGTACATACACACGTAGACACGAAGTCCGTGAGGTATAATATTTATTAGTGTCTGCTTGCCTTTGGCCTTTTGCTGTTGACAAATTTTTAGTAATGGAGTTGAATAATAATTATAATAATTACTAGCAATAATATTAATTAGTTCTCGCCTCCTGTAGGCTTTCAGTATTGGAAATCATTTCAAAGAAGAAACTGAGTTGTCACCGTAACAGTCATTTGGACGTTACGCTGGTATTCGAAACATTGCGAGAACATACAGAGCAACTGTTATTTTATTTACAAGATGAACAGTAACATGACGTGTCCCTGAAACGTCGACAAAGCAGTCTAATTTACACGATCCCATCACCTGCTGTATAGAAACCATTCCGTGATTGTGCATAAATCCAGCAGAACAGATTCTTATGTGACTGCATTTTCTCCGTTTATAATTGTATTAGATATTTCCCTAAATGTTAAAAATTTATGTTGCTGTTATTACAATTGGAATTATTGCTACCATTACTAATCTGTGTCGCCCTCGGTGGACTAGTGCTCGCCATTGGACCCCCAAGGTTCGCGGGTTCAATCCCGGCCGAGGTCGATGGATTTTTAAGGGTGACAAAAATCTGTAGCAAAACTTTCCTTCGGAGGGGAAGTAAAGCCGTAGCTTTACGCATGTAAAAGAAACTTACGAGCAGTCAAATCAGGATTGGGTAGAAATTGTGCAGAGTCAATGGGCTGGTCACTCACTACTCACAGATGCACACTTCAAAGACCAAGAATCCTCTGAAAAGGAGGTGGCGAAAACCCACAACAGGGTTTTAATGCCCAGAAACAAAATACTTAGCTGTGAATAGCTTCTTCACCGAAATTCGCTATTAACACATGTCTACACGATAAAAATATTTTTAATGTTACTTTGATTCAATTACGTCATTAATATTTGTCCTCGAATTCAATAAATTAGTAGTTTCGGAGTACTTTTTAATCTTTATGAAATAGACAGCAGACAGTAGGATGAGATTCCACGACAGCGAGTATGAAGATGGCTATCTTCTGGGTTGTAGAGCCGTGTAGTCTGGTGGAGGTTTTCAGACGTTTCTGATGCGATTTCTGCATCCATTATCGCTCATCGACCTGACGATGAAAGCAGCAATCAAATCTTAAACGTCGGTAAAATTTCGCTAGACTACACTGCCCAACATTCCAGTAGACAGTCATGTTAAAAGATAGACGTGTTATTGAATATTGAAAATGTTTTAGTTTCCTGTTACAAGAAAATTATTAGCGATTTTAAGCAGATAATCTTTCAAATAATATCAAATGTACATATATATTATATTTTGAAATGAAAAAAATATCTAATGTATTATGTTGTATATAATAATATTAAAATTAAGTGAAGGAATGTAATAGAACTCATTTTTTTAATTCAAATGTCTATCATGAGATATTACTCTCAAAGGCTGTGGTGACAATAATAAATGTCTTAGTTGTAATAATATTATGACTACTAATGGAACGTACGGAATTATTTAATACGTATTTGAATATAGGAATACTATGTAAATTATGTAGATGTGTGCATCATGAAGTGTGCGTTGCATATTTAGACGGATGTTTGTGAATGATAGATTTATCCCACATTCTGCTACACGTTAAATATGTTTCTGGAGATATTTCTGAAGCCCTTTACATAATTACGATTATCCTAACAATCCTGCAGATTGATTTATATTTAAGAGAGCAGACATGTACCAATTACAAAACCAAACGGTTTTCCCAGTAGCTATGCCTTTTTAAGAAAGAAATGGTTGCGTATTAATTCGTGATATGTCTTGAGGTACATGTGCAATGCGTGACACAAAAGGTTTCAAAATATTGTATTGGTGTCTTCATTTATAGAGTCAGAATATAGCAAATGTTAGTTGTTACTTGTAAATAAAGAACATGGTCGATATTCATTAAAACTGTGATGTGCGTCTAGGTTCGTTTTACCTTAGTCTAGGAAAATAAGAAACGAAGACCACTCTCTGTCTCTGTGTTCTTATTAATCTGTGTTGTTTCTTAGATGCAAATACTGTTTCAGGTTGTTCGTGACAATCTCTGGACGGAATATGATGTCAATATATGTATGCTAATACTATCACGTAATATCAGGGAAGAAGGCAAAACTAGTGTGTCCCGTAGAACGCACTTTCAAAGTTAAAAAACATGGACAGCTGATGGGCTGTAACACTAAAAAAATACCTCCTCTGTCATGTTACAACTTTATATCATCCTCAGCCACAAGACTTTGTCAAAAATCAATAACTGATTTAATTGACAGAAGCTTTTACAGTTTTAACAAAAGTTTATAATTAGTGTTCCATGACAGTTCTCATATCTGTCATAAGATCGTAGATTAATTGGGCGATCTATTACATGGTGATTATCGATGATCTTTCAATATTATATTTACACTTGTTAAAATATATATTTAATAGATTGGTAGATTAAAATGCTTTACTGGATATCGAGAGCCTTAATGTCGTTCTGAAACATTATTTAGTAATTTAACTGAATACAAAATACGTCGCTTAAGAGCGAAGTTCTGGATTACGTATAGATAATTTTCTGCAAGATTTAATTTCGTGGATTTTTAACTGATTAAGAATGAAAGATAAGAGTAAACTTGCTTCTATAAAAACGCTGAAATAAAATTGTTTGACCTAAATTACAGCGTACGTTATAAAGTGTTTTCATGCTGTAAACAGCTGTTTTGTGCTTCGTACATTGATTTTAAATAAACAAAATATTAGTTGTAAATTTCTTCGTGCCACGGTGCTTATTGGTAGTGGCAAAAGTGGCCAAGGTGTTTAATAACTTTTGCGGATGCTATCAAAGAAAAATCACTTACAGATTTTTCAACTTCGCTGTATCTCCCTACATAATTTCTCGTTGTTGCATGTTGACCTTTGATAATGTAGTTTCCACAAAGTACTAATATATCTATGTATCTCGTATTTTCTGATTCTCTAAAGAATGCAGAGCAAAACTTAATGTTTTCTCACTTCGCCCATGGTACCTATTACATTATCCTCCATGAGTCTGTTCTTTGAGTAACATTTTCATCTTTGTGTATTAAAAATACTGATTTTATTTAAATATATTAGTCGAAATTAAAAGAGTTGCTTTATAAAGTCAACATGTATAAGTTTTATTTTTATTAACATACCTAAAATAACGTTCATCGTGGTCCATGTTTCTTGAATTTGGAGGCGATGTGTTCTTCCGAAACGTCTTTAATCACACGGCGTCACAGTCCAAAAAATGACAATTGACGTTCTACTGCGCCGATGTTCCTCTGCCACTAAAAAATTCTAACTCGTATGTCTTTCTAATTGCTTTAGGGTCCTGGAATTTAAGACATTATATTTTGTCCAAGATTGGCTGAGTACATAGAAACATAACAGTTGTTATTTTACTTATGTTTACACTTATTATTGCTAAATTGTTTAAGCAATCAACAATATGTGTATTTCAAATACCAACTTACCTTAAAAGAGACTGAGCTTGATCTTATAATTAATTTTAATATCGCTTAATAAATTTAATGTAGTTGTTTCATTACTGTTAGTGTTTCGAAAGTTGACGGAATATATGTTTCAGTGCTGCCTTGTCATGTCATTAACTAGTTGGCCTACACGTTACACTGCATGCGTTGTGAGGTATAAAAGTATATAGGGGAGATTAGACTACATTAGATTAATTCTGTTTCTTAAATTGAAAGAAATAATTTGTATATGTGAAATGTTATGTAAGAATTTCCTTTCTTTCATATATCTGTAAGGTATTGGTGTTAAAATTAATTATTAGTATATAAATTAAGTTTAGAATTTAAACTGTAAATAAATTTTTTTTAATGTTGCGGTTTTTGGTGCAATTAAGTAAGAAAATATGCCCAGTTACCTTGCCTTAATATAAGGATTTGATCTCTAGTAACGGGGATATTTAATTTGCATAATGGGTATCTCTTTAAGGACAAGATTGGTTCTGCATGTAGCGTGAATAGGGTGTGTGAGAAATGAATTTGCAGTTTCCGTTGGGAAATCTGAAGGAAAGAGTCCGCTCGGAAAACCTAGGGATAAAGGGCTGAGCGTGTATTAGATTCATCGGGGTCAGGATAGGCACCAGCGGAAGGATCAAGTGAACAAGGGTTTGTGTTTCTTGAGTAGTTGAGCATACTGTTATCTTCTGAAGAAGGACTCTGTTCCATGTAGTTAGTTAGCGAAGGAACTGATAGCTGTCAATAACATGGATGATGAACAAGATTTGTTTCTCGTCACAACGATCGAATATGTTAACGAATCTGGCCGCTCATCTCTTTTGTATCGAGGTTAATTATACATGGAATATTTACCTCCGCGAACCATGAATGTCTTCGGGGTGTCGTGTGTATGGTAAAGCATTAATAACTCCATTCAACAGAATGTTTCTTGTAAAGCTAACAGACGCTGAGATTTAACTCATATTGAATCCTAAGAATTTATTGAAAATATTCGTGTTTATGGTTAAATATCAAATTACCAGAGTTAAACTCAACGGACAACAATGAAACAATTCCGTTACCAGTGATTTTCTTACAAGTGTCGCTTGTATGAAGTTATTTATTTGGTGACATGAGAGAGAGAGAGAGAGACAGAGGCAAGAAAAGATTTGGTGAGCCAAAGAAAATGGAAAGCAGAGAACGGGTGAGACAGAGACAGCGTTAAGCAGATGCCGGGTATATCAGAAACGGAGTCAAGCAGAGACACGGTGAATCACACTGTGTAAAGCAGCCACCGGGTGAGGCACACACCGTGTCCAGCTGAGACTGTGAAGTAGACATTGCCAGAGAACGGGTCCGGAAGAGACTAGTTCTGATAGGGATGTGTTATATCAGATTTGGAAAACATATCATGCAAATTTTCAAAATTATCGAAAACTCAAAAATTGTTGCAAAATTTGTGAAAAGCGCATAAAACCATAAATTTTAGAAATGTTTGAAAAAAATTTGGAAGTGAACTTTTTCAAAAAATTTTGTTTTTGTGCGCTTTTTGGACAATTTACAGCGTTTTTTGTATTTTAGAAAATTTTGAAAAAAATTCAATTTTTTTTTTCAAATTTCACCCCACCTGATGCCATGCAGGACAGATCGCCGTCATACTGTGTCTGATGTACTGTGTCTCTGACGAAAGCGGTCTGTGTCACACGGTCTCTTACGTACCGTCTTCTATAAGCCAATGTGCGGGATGCAACACGTAAGGCAGATACCTTGACGGGCAGGGACACGGTCGGCCACACATCCATCCCTGCATAGGCCGGTTGTGCAGAAACAGAGGCAGTCAGCAATCGGAAAGGATAGAGGAAGAGTCCGGCAGAGACAGGGTGAGGTATTCGCCGAGGTTGGCATGTATCTCTTGGTGAGAGTTTTGAAAAAAAATTCAAAATTTCGAAAATTTTCGAAAAATCAAAAAACGCTTGAAATTCTCTGAAAAGCGCACAAAACCAAAATTTTTTGAAAATTTTGAATTTTTTTTAAAATGTGAATTTTTCAAAATGTTTTGGTTTTGTGCGAATTTTGGACAATTTCCAGCGTTTTTTGTTTTTCCAAAATTTTGAAAAAATTTCTTCCAAATTTCACCCCACCTTATGCCATGCAGAACAGATTGCCGTCTTACTGTGTCTGATGTACCGTGTGTCTCACGAACGCGGTCTGTGCCTCACATGGTCTCTTACGTGACGTCTTCTATAAGCCGAGGTGCAGGATGCAACACGTAAGGCAGATACCTTGACCGGCAGGGACACGGTCGGCCACACTACGAGCTCTGCATAGGCCGGTTGTGCAGAAAACGAGGTAGTCAGCAATCGGAAAGGATAGAGGCAGAGTCCGGCAGAGACAGGGTGAGGTATTCGCCGAGGTTGGCATGTATCTCTTGGTGAGAGTTTTAAAAAAAATCAAAATTTTGAAAATTTTCGAAAATTTAAAAAACGCTGCAAATTGTCTGAAAAGCGCACAAAACGAAAAAAATTTGAATGTAGAATTTTTCAAAATTTTTTGGTTTTGTGCGCTTTTTGGACAATTTCCAGCGTTTTTTGATTTTTCGAAAATTTTGAAAAAATTTCTTCCAAATTTCACCCCACC